CACACCCACCCACGGCGGGGGCTGCCCCGTGGCGCGGGACGTACCGTGGCCCTGCTGGGGCGGACTGTGGCTTTGCCGGGCCGGGGCGCTCCGATCGGCGACGGCCGCCAGGACCGCGGGACGGCGGCCAAGGCTCCTCCCGAGGAGAGCTGCGGAGAGAACGGGGACGGGGTGTCAGGGCAGGGCGGGACGCCGGGGCAGCCGGGAGCAGGGCCGGCGGGCACTCACCCATCTGGGCGCCGCGGGGCCGCGCCAGCCCCGCCCGCAGCAGCACCAGGGCCGCCATCGTCCCCGGCCAGCCCAAGGGCACCGGAGCCGGAAGTGGCCGCCGCAGCCCTTCCGCTTCCGGGCAGGGGGGTAGGCGGTGGCAACGGCGGCAGGGCAGGCTCTGCTGCTGCGGCGGGTTGCGCAACTGCGGCCTTTCCCGGAGCCGGCGGCGGGAGGCCGAGACGAGGCCGCGCCTGCGACCTCCAGGTGGCTGGGCAGAGACTTCGGTCCTATCGAATCCCCATTCGGAGATGCTTGGTCCTATCTCAAAACCCGCAGGAGTGGCCACAGGGGATCCGGGTGCTCCCCCTCACCCCCCCGCTAATGAAAAACCGTTGTACGAGGGGAGCTATACAAAATAAACCCCTTCTTGAACATTTCCTATGATGTACATAAAGCAGTTGCATTGCTACTGTGTGACTGACCGGCAGAGAAGTGGCTGTGATAAAGAGCGAGCAGCTGAAAGCACGCTGAGCCTGCAATACTGCTTTCTCCAAGCCTCTGGCATTAGCCAACAGACAAGGGCATGCAGAGAACATCTTTTCACTTGAAACGGAAAGAGGGACTGTGACCAGGACCTGGAACGAGGACCTAGGGACAGCACTGACACCATTTTGTACTTGTTCAGGCATAAAGCTGGAGCTGTGCTTGGTCACCAACACACAACAATCGCATCAGCACAGTACATTTCCCCAATGGCTGCTTTCCACTCCAGCTTCCCTTACTTCATTTCCTCCAAGCCCTCCACAGCCACCTGGTTTGATTGGGCAGAAACGCATGGCACAGGGAGAACACAAGGACCACCTAGGCTTCTCAGGCCTGTGCTCTGTCCCCGGGCTTTACTCCAAAACAATGACAAAAGCATCGAACATGTCTGGATTTATTTATTTTGTTAAAAGGCTTGGCTGTTCAACTGCAGGGAGAACGGCCCAGAACCAATTTCTCCAGGAATACATTGGGCAGACCAGAGACAGAACACAACACCCACCGAGGCTTCTCTGTCAGCACAAACGGTTTCAGCATCCCCCTAGAGAGAATGAAGGAAAGGCAGACACAATGGCCAGCCCATGCCAGGATTTGGAGAGAAGTCTAAAACAAGCAAATGCACCGGTGTCTTTTCTTCACCATTATGGAAGGAGTCAGTGCACCTTCAGCTGGAATCAGAGGATTCCTTTGTGCTCCCTTCTGCATCCAGCTGACCGTGTGCATGCTGCCACACAGGTCTGCTTTTGTTGGAGGATGGGAAGACAAAGCTACTGTAGGGTTAAATCCAGTGACACTTCCTCTATTATCAGACTTTTTGTCTCTCCCCTCTCCTATTGCAAGTCTTGATCATTGATTTAGTAACCCAAAAAACCAATCTGTTAAAACTTAATTTTAAAAAAAAAAAAAAAAAAAAAAAAGGTGCAAACATGCTTGTTTTCCCCCTGCAGAGAGCCTATAACGTTTTCGTGCATCAGAGGTCAACCTGGTCACAGAAAAAAAATCTGAAGTTGGCAGGACTAGCCAACCTGTGAGACAGGCAACTGCTCCCCCGGGTTTCTGAATGTCAAGTCAATGAAAAGCAAGGGGGCACCTACTGGAGGCTGCCAAGGTTCAGTTTCTCCCTTGTCGGCTGGCAGGATGTATATAAACCACAGTGTTGAAACAAGTTGTACCATGGGGCAGTGCTGAAAGATAAATATCTGTCTCTGTCCTCTACCTTACTGTTTGAGCTGCAGCCTAGACTCATCAGTCCTCATCTGAGCTATCCTCTGATTTTTCATCAGCGGCCACCTTCCAGTTCTTCCTCTTGCTCCTCTTCTCTGGTACTTCACTGTGCCTCTCTGACATGGAATTCTGACGTTTCTTTCTCTTTTTTGGGGGCCGTTTCTCTTTTTTCTCCTCAGATTCACTGTCCTCAGAGCTGCTGGTGGTTGAGCTGCTTGCATGAGAAAAGTCACTTTCCTGCCCAGAAGAAGAGGTAGGTTCCCTGGCAGGCACTTTCCTGGTCTTTTTCTTGCGCTTGTGTTTCCCTTTCTGGGTGCCTGAAGTCTCCTCTTCTGAGCACTCACTCTCCTGGGAAGAATCTGATGATGTTCTCCCCTGCTCCTTTTTCTTTTTCTTTCGCTTTTTGTGCGATCGCTTTTTTTGCTTCTTCTTGTGTGACTTCTTTGTTTTTTTCCGTTTGTGCGACTCATGGGCAGTTTGCTTTCCCAGATGAGATTTCTTCTTCCCATTGACAGCATTTTGTTCATCTCCTTCTTGCTGGTCACTGTAAAAAGAACAGAGGATGATCAAAAGGAAGCAGAGAGGCAGGCTCATAGCAGTTGAGCCTCTTTCTGTCTCAAAGTTTTAAGCAAGCCCAGCAATTCATTTGGCTAGAGCAGGGGAGCAGATCCTGTGACAGTCATGGTAGCTGCATTTTTGTTTCAAGTACTTATTAGGAGCTTGGGTCCACACCTTACTAATACCCCTGTTTAAGGTATTTGAGCCAGAACCAAGGAGAATGTGTACTGAAAGCCACCGAGTGATGAAAACTCATTTATAGCAGGTTACTTCAAATCTGTAAGCCTGACAAATATTGTACTTGATGATTCTGTTAGGTGTAGTTTAAAAATAATGAATTTTGTCTAAGATCTTATTTTACAGTTAAGTCTCCACTCTCCAGGATACTGCAAGAATTTATATTCTCCAAATAAGGAGAAACAGAAAATACGGGTACACTGTGATGGAAAGGTGCCATGGTTTAACCCCAGCCAGCAACTAAGCACCACGCAGCCGCTCACTCACTCCCCCCCCATCCAGTGGGATGGGGGAGAAAATCAGGAAAAGTAAAACTCCTGGGTTGAGATAAGAACGGTTTAATAGAACAGAAAAGAAGAAACTAATAATGATAACACTAATAAAATGACAACAGTAGTAATAAAAGGATTGGAATGTACAAATGATGCGCAGGGCAATTGCTCACCCCCCGCCGACCGACACCCAGCCAGTCCCCGAGCGGCGATTCCCTGCCCCCCCCTTCCCAGTTCCTAAACTAGATGGGACGTCACATGGTATGGAATACACTGTTGGCCAGTTGGGGTCAGGTGCCCTGGCTGGGCATGAGAAGCTGAAAAATCCTTGACTATAGTCTAAACACTACTGAGCAACAACTGAAAACATCAGTGTTATCAACATTCTTCACATACTGAACTCAAAACATAGCACTGTACCAGCTACTAGGAAGACAGTTAACTCTATCCCAGCTGAAACCAGGACAAAAGGAGAACCTGGAGGTGATATTTGAGAGGGTGTATACTGAGCTGATTTGGATTCAGCCTACTACTCTGGCTCTCCGTTGGCCCATGCAGACCCTCCATTTTAGTAACTCAAGCTCAAGCTGAATGTCTGATTACTATAAAAGATGCAATCCCTTCCTAAGACTCAGACAAGGGGGAACCACATTAATGGACTAGAATTTTTTTCAGTGGGTGTCTGTAACTAAACAGTGCTGCTTTACATTTAAGGCTGATCTATACTCAAAACTTAAAATTCAGTTTGTAAAATTCCCTGCATAACCTGACAGAAGTAAGATTCTGGATACATTAGTAAGCCTGCTTGCCTTACCTATCCGTATCAAATTCTTCAGGGTACAACTCTTTATAACCACTGTGACCCCACCTGGAAGAAAGCAGGACCATCTATTAGAAAGAGACAAGGTGTTTAAGGAAAAAACATAATTCTGAAAAGACAGAGCCACAGAATGAACATGAGTTTAGATAGCAAAGAAGAGCTATCAGAACCTTCCCAACAAAGAAGGAAGGAAATATGATCGATTGGTTGGTACTATTTAAATACACCTTATGTTTTCAGTCTCTTTTCTATCTCTAATTAGGGAAAACTACAACTCAAATTTCTTTAAAATAAGCCTGGAGGGCACTAACTTGCATTTCTCAAGATTTTTTTAAGTTCCCTGGGCAAAGTAATAAATACTAAGCTTAATTGCTAAGCTTAGGGCAGAACTGTTGCTGCTTACTGTGGCTTAGGAACTCTATAGATGAACTCAAACTAGGTATTCTGTGACACTGCAAAAGTTCGTGCATGTTACTTACTCATTCTCAAAATAAGATCACATGTTATTTTATAGAATTACATACTGAAAAAAAGAAATGTACTAACTTTTTGGTACATGACTCCAAAAAGGTGTTCAAATTACAGTTACAATCACAGAATATTAATTCCCCCACAGACCTGTCTGGCATGTTGGCTTCACATTCATATAGCTTTTTATTCCAGGATCGGGCCCTAAGGAGGTCATCTTCAACTAGGTCAAGAAATTGTGAGTTCTTTGTTTTCCAGTCAGCCCTGTGGCCCTCCTCATCAAAGCCATCACTGCGCATCCGACTGCTGCAGAAAGAGAACAGGTGTCCTTCAGCTGTCAGCTCTGATGGAGAAACTTTCTGAGCAAGGGGTTAGTCCAGCGAGAGGAGCAAAAATCCAGCAAGTCTTGGATGTCCATCTATGCAAGAAGACCAGCTATCATTTTAACAGACAGTCACCATTAACAGCTCTCACAAAACCAGTTCAGTAGCTAACACTGGTTTTCAACACTTACTACGGTTCTCTGTGCACAGCAAAATTCTAGACAGAGGTGCTCACAATGCAAAATTAGAGGAAGGGGTTATCATGCTTATTACAACAAATGCAGTTCTCCTCCTCTACAATACTCTGCAGGAGCAGACTAACAATATGCAATGAGACGTATGCTAGTAAAAGCAGCAAAGGGCACACTGAAGAAGTAGAACAGACTTACTAGAATTGCAATTTGATCAGGTACCAGGACTAAGACCCCAAATCCAGGACTAAGACCCCAAATCCACAGAAAGCCCCAGCAGTTTTGAGTGATCTCACATGCCTGTGGCTCTAGTTTTGTTTCTCACTTGAAATGCCGCACTTGCTGAGCCAAGCAGCAGCTGTGGACTCAGCATAAGTCTGAATGGTGTTCTTCCCTGAGATACTAAAACCACTTCCTGTAACGTTCATGCTTCTGAAAAGTCTTCACGGTACTAAGCTCTCCCCCTTCTGCCCCAAACCCCAACCCTCCCCCAAACCCAGTTTGTTTTCATGTAGCTTGTGAGATCCTCAGGCATGTCAGAATGACTTCACAGACACCACACAAGCAGTGGTCAATACTGGTGTGTTACAATAGCACAGGACCCCACATCATAACAGTTTTGTTTACTGCTAACCTAAACAGCAATACATTAGACTTTCCTCACAACATTCTGACATATTAGTCAAGCACTTCCTACCCATGCTGCTTCAGAGTGCCTGGCCTACTTAATGTTGTATTTTGAAGGCTATACATCCAGATAAAGAGATAAAAGGTCAGACTTAAGCACAGGTCTGACCTCTTTCCAGGGGCTCATTAAGGAGAAAATAAATATAACTGTAGTCTATGTTGTCTTCATATATTGTAAACACATAGTAATCACAGAATGTTCTTAAAGTATTATAACACAAAAGGGTTCAGCAATTAAGCAACTAAGTCAAGCCAATTATCTCCACTACACAATTAAAACCCACCTGGAAGTGTCCGACAGCATTCTGCTTTGCCTTTTCCAGTAAGTCTCTTCTGTCTGCTTCTCCCACTCCCTTATTTTCCACATTTCTGTCTCTTCCTGAATCTGAAAGTCACAGATGGGAAACAAGTGTAACATTAGGGAGATGTTACAGACATGAAGCATGTAACATCCGCTCCTAGCTCAATGCTCCTGCTAACAAAATTCACAGCAAGCCTTCCTACCATACTGGAACAGATTATTACTTCTAGCTATAACCAAGGTAACCAAAAGAAGGACCTCTTGATGGTAGTACCCTCACAAAGCACATAAGGATAACGGCATCAGAAACAGTGGGTTTGCCTGATTTTGCTATCTCAGCTGTTCTGGATACCCTGCCTTGTCATTCATTACCATCCCAAACATACATACTGTCAGAGAATTCAGTATATAAATATCATCTGGAAGGACCAAGCCAAAATGAGAAGTTACACTACAGGCTGAAAAAACACAGCATGCAAATACTGAGTGGTTTGGCACAGATCTATGTTTATGGACACTGACTGTGAGTGATTTTTATAAGCACATGAAATAAATGAGTTGGACCTGCTGAATTATGTCAGGAATTAAATAGTTTGCTAAAGCTAACAGAGTTCCTTAATCTTGCACTAAAATACTGCCTGTGCACATTAGCACAAAGTTCAAATTCTTTGATGCAATTAAAAGGACATACGCAATACAAGAAAAAAACCCAAAGAATTGCTACTTTTAAAAGGCAAACCATAGTTTTCATGAAAGTCCTGAGAGACTACGTCTTTCACGAGGCAAATTTTACAGGTGAATACAGATATGCACACACACATTCCATCGCCAGGATGAGAGCTCAAGAAAAAGAGGGTTAAACCGAAAGCGAGACTAAGGACGTTTACGTAGCTGATTTCACCAAGCTCCTTTCCTCTCCGAAAAGCGCAGCTGCTCTCCCCACCTCCAGATCACAACTCGGACGTTCCGCCCGCCCCGCTCCCCGCTCCGCCGCCGGCTCCGCACCCCCGGGAGAGAGCGGGGACGAGGGGCC